ACGCGGTACTGTAGGTAAGTAAATCTTTGCATTGTCGATAATAAAACAGTAAATTTACAATAAAATGTTTATTTTGTTGTTCTTGAGGCAGTTATATAAAAGATCTATACATTTTTGATAATAAAACAATAACTGGATGAACTAAAATAACGCGCAGCGAGTTTTTTTTCCAATCACACTAAATCCTATAAAACCACCGGTCTTTAATGATATCTCGTCAGTGGTCTAGTTTCCACCGAAGTATTAATTCGCATTTAGTGCGGCGTAGGACTAAATTTAAGTCGATGGAAATACGACTGATTGCGTTCATTTCTCTCCTACTCCGATCTACAAGCTTTGTCGGAGTGGCAGCGAATTGACACGAAATTTAGGCGGTGGAAACCATAGACATACAGAATGGACTGAGCGCTTAGAACATATATAAATGGAAAGAGAATGCCTTTGTTTCCCGATAGAAAAACATGTCGGAAGGAAGTAAGAAAGAAAATCATAGTTGCCTCTCTCTTGTGAGTTACTTTGCTCAAAAGTGCGCATGCGCGGCCATGTGTGTGTACACAAAAGTATGTATACTACAGACACGATGCTTGTATGTGTAGTTACTCACAAGAGAGAGGCAACTACGATTTCTTTCTCACTTCCTTCGACACTTTTCAGCCTGCTATTCTCCTTCCATTTACATATGTTCTAAGACTGAGCGTTGCGATAGACAAACGCGCGCTCGCTGTAGATAGAGAGATACTATATGGGAGGCCTATTTTGTCTCTTTTCTTAGTATCTCATTGGTGATTTTGTCCCCCGCCATATAGAAAATTACCAATGAGATGCTAGGAAAAGAGACAAACATAGGCCTCCCATATAGTACCTCTCTTTCTACAGCGGGCGCGCGTTTCTTTATCTCGCAATGCTCAATCCAGTCTATATATCTATGGTAAAAACGCTTGAAAGTACATGATGCCAACCTTTATTTTTCATTATTTCGTAACCATCAATACATAGTCGATATATAGTCCATATGTTGATGTTCGTAACAGTTATCGTTTGTTCGTATTAATTATCAAAATGGAAAATAAACGAAAAATTTGTCAAGGATTATGTTTATTTACATTCACAAGCAAAAGTTAAGTTGGCTCTACTGAAATATCAATCTTTCTCGCTTTTATTCTACTTCTAGTGGAAACAGTATGTTAAATTCGATGCGCACCGAAACAGAATCGGATTGACGACTTCGGTAGAAACTAGATCAGTGACAAGGTACATTTTTTGGGCGTAGAGTATGAAGATTGAGGAATGAGGGTAAAATCCGTATCAGACTACGCATTGAAGATTAAAGATTAGAATTTGACTAATCTGAAGCCCGTATCAGACTACGCATTGAAGATTGAGATTCAAGATTTAAGATTGAAATTTGACCAATCAGGACAAAGAAATTTTAGTTCCTTTTGTTCTGATTAGTCAAATTCACTGATCTATATATCTGGATTGCTGATCGCCTTTTGGCTTCTGCACACAGGACGCGGAAACGCTTGCCGCGCGGCAAAAGGCGACGCGGTAGCCAATCAACTTACAACTTTTCCATTAGAGGGAAAAATTGATTGGCTACCGCGTCGTCTTTTGCCGGGCGGCAAGCGTTTCCGCGTCCTGTTTGCAGAAGCCATTTGTTCTTAAGACTCAAAAGCGTCCCCAAATGGACGCCGCCATCTTACCCGGCAATTTGCCTCCGAGCGTGGGAAATTCAAATGAGTTTGACTAAAACCACGGTCTATGTAAGACTGCAATTGAAACTTACGTTTACGTAACATTTTTGCTGTTATTAATTTAAAAAATCAGAATTAAACGATGAAACAGATCATAAAATAGACCAAAATATTACAAGATGTTATGTTTAATAAGACAATTAATTCTTTATTCATTCAATAAAGGTTCCTATCATATGTTTTAATTGCGATAATACAATCAACTTGTCATGATTCGAGGAATTTTGGATTTTTTTAAATATTTACAACTTAATCATTTTTTATGGGTCTTATAAATAAAATATTTACAAATATAGAGAATGTTACCATAGTTGGACCTTCCTTTTCGTGTGCAGCTGTTACAAAGTTAAAAAAAAAGGTAAAAGTTAAAAAACTATTAAAAAGTTTATTAAGCGGTATCCATGATCTGCACTTATTGGTATCACTTAGAGAACCACCACGCATGCGCGCATCTCGGGCGTGTAAAATGGCGGACCTTCAATTGGGTACATCGCCAGGAGGCCTATCAGCAATCCAGATATATAGATCAGTGGTCAAATACCAATCTTTAATCTTTAATCTTCAATTTTTAATGCGTAGTCTGATACGGGCTTGAGGGTTGATTGTGTATCTTATAACAATGTGAAAATTATAAAAGTGAGGAAATTCACTAGAGTATCTACGATTTCATTCCTCGAAATCTAGTAAATCTGTTCACTTTTATAATTTTCACTTTGTCTCAAGGATACACAATCGACTCCCAGAACAAAAAGAACTAAAATTTCTTTATTCTTATTGGTCAAATTTCAATATTGAATCTTGAATCTCAATCTTCAATGCGTAGTCTGATATGAGCTTAAGGTTATTTAAAGGAAGGTTAAAGGCCAATTTTACCAAGTCCGGTTAGATGAACCCATCGACATATAGTACTGGATGGAGCACGCGGCAAGATTTCTTTGTTCTTTCGTATTGAGCGACCTAGAAAGAGAAAAGTAGATGTGTGGGCACGGATCTCTCATTCTGTTCTCGTTTCATTGGTTGAATTTTGTCTAAGGAGAAGGGGAACAATACTGTATTCTTATAAGTTAGGAACATTCTTAACCTTATTGCTACTTATAAGTGTGTAGCGTATATGAACATAGCATATAAAAATGATATTATCATATACGTTACAAATAATTAGTAATATAATTTCTGCCTGTTTTTATCCAAAACAAATGGGTTAGACAAAGATGTATAAAATTTTGAGATGCTTCATGGCCTCATAGCTTTATGAGCCGCTACTATTCATGCATCGTCTTGTCTTTTTCTACGTCTGTCAACACGGTTTCGGTTCCATGCTCCGTCTAGTACTATATGTCGATGGATGAATCATAGACATATACACAAACTTCTATATATTACCACCGACGAGATACTATTAAAAACCGTCAGCCCTGGGTAAACTTTTGTGACCATCAAGTTGGCCCAGTGGGCCCGGAGGTAATTGAAGAATGTCGACATTACCGGCCGTTTGATTGGATCGAAGATGATTACACGAATTATTTAATTCATACGGTTATTTTACTTCATCCAATTATTATTGTATTATCGAAAATACCGACGAGATATCATTAGAGACCGATGGTCTTATATGATTTAGCATATTACTGGAAAAAAACTCACACTAAATCCCATAAGACCACCGGTTTTTAATAATATCTCGTCGGTGATATTACTAAACCGCTAACTCCTACGGAATACATGGCCCCGAAAAGTATGTACACAACACATGCGCGCACACACACACACACACACAAACACTCCTCGTCTGTACCACCACCGGAAATAAGTTGGCGCTGGAAGTTCATATTTTTTAATAAATAACTGCTCAAACGATTGCTCCTTAATTGCTCCGTCAAAATCCACATTTGCTCTCTTTTTAAAATTAATATTTTTTTAAATATTTACAAAAAACGTAAAATTTATCATTTTCACTCAAAAACATATTTCCAATAGTTTTCTGCAACTATATCCAGCATAAAACGGTTGCTCCTTAATTGCTCCATATTGCTCCATCATTATTTTCATGATTTATTGCATTTTTTATCGAAAATTAATAAATTAATCATTTCCAATGTGGCGTTCCTGCGGCTGAATTCAAAACCATTTTTGTTACCAACTTCATGAAATATATTTGTAACCATTTTCACACATTTCATTTATTGATTTAACACTTTACATAACAACATATTAAACATACGACAAATTATGTAACATTCATTCGTTCGTTCATTGACCATCAATCTGTACACATCTCGCTCGTGAATTAAATATTTTATTAGTAAAAAGGAAAGTCTAGTGATTTAACTATAGCGCTACCACAACTGGTGACCCCGACGTGATCACGGGCTTTTGAGAATTCACGTTCAAGCGTGGCGAATTTGAATCAGTGATCCGCGAATTTAGTGAGCCATCGAGTTTCGAGTTCCGCTGTGATTCTTGTGTGATTTGTGGCTTGTGTTCTTCGAGTCGACGAGATTTTCGAGTCATCGAATTTCCAAGGACAGCGAACTACTAGACTTCTGAAATTCACAATGCAGAGTATTGACAGAGTTTGACGATGCCTTCGGACGAATCTTCGACTTCGAATCCTACAGCGTCAGCATCAGTTCCATCGGCTGGAGAACATCATCAACGTTTGACTGGTAAACAAAATGTAGTTGCAGATTCACTCTCTAGAATTGAATCCGTTTCGATGCCTATCATAGTTTCTCTGGAAGAGTTAGCAGAATTACAAAAAGAAGATGAAGAATTGAAAACACTTCTCACTAATTCTTCCCTCAAGCTTCAAAAACTTGTACTTACTGGCTCGACTACGCCTATTTTCTGTGACTGCTCTACTGTTAATATCCGTCCTTATGTACCTCAACAGCTTCGTAGGAAAATTTTTGATGTTGTTCATGGTTTATCTCATCCAAGTGGTCGTTCTACCTGCAAACTAATACAACAAAAATTTATTTGGCCAACTATGAAGAAAGATATAAAAGAATGGGCTCGATTGTGTTTGCCTTGTCAACGTGCCAAGATCCAAAAGCATACCAAGAATCTTCCTCAAAAGATTGCTATTCCAGATCAGCGTTTTCAGCATATTCATCTAGATTTGATTGGACCTCTTCCTATTTGTCAAAATTTTCGTTATTGTTTAACCATGATTGACAGATTTTCTAGATGGCCGGAAGCAATCCCTCTTACTGAAATTTCAGCTGATACTGTTTCTACAGCTTTTTATACGCACTGGGTTGCGAGGTATGGTGCTCCGCAGACGATCACAACCGACCAAGGTCCTCAATTTGAAGCTGCATTATTTAAGGCTCTCACCAACCTAATTGGTTGCGAGCGTATTAGAACCTCAGCTTATCATCCGGCTTCTAATGGTATTCTGGAACGATGGCACCGTACATTGAAGAGTGCTATTATGTGTCACGCAAATGAAAACTGGATTGAAATTTTGCCAACAGTTTTACTTGGACTTCGTACTTGCTTTAAAGAAGATTTGAATGCATCTCCTGCGGAAATGCTTTATGGATCTACATTAAGAATTCCGGGAGAATTTTTCATTGAAGAGGATCTTCCATCTGACCCTGAAATTTTCATCGAAAAACATAGAATACATATGAGAGAGATCAAATCAAGACCTACTGCACATCATCACAAAAAAACACCTTTCTTTCATAAAAATTTATATGATTGCACTCATGTTTGGATTCGTGAAGATGCAGTTAGGAAATCTCTTCAACCTCCTTATTGGCCCTTTTCGTATTGTTAATAGAATTAATGATAATCTATTTGCAATCGATGTTGCAGGAAAAATTGTCAATATCACCACAGAACGTCTTAAACCAGCCTTCCTACCGAAAGAAACCAGCGATGATGTGATTATCATGACGTCTCCTTCTCCTTCTTCTTCCAATTCACCTCAGTCAACCTTACTTGGAAAGAACATATGAACATATTCTGGTCCTAGGAAGAAAGTTAGATTCGCAACGTAGTACGTCGCTGGGAGGGGAGTACTGTGGCGTTCCTGCTCAAAATCATAAAATCATTTTTGTTACCAACTTCATGAAATATATTTGTAACCATTTTCACACATTTCATTTATTGATTTAACACTTTACATAACAACACATTAAACATACGACAAATTATGTATCATTCTTTCGTTCATTGACCATCAATCTGTACACATCTCGCTCGTGAATTAAATATTTTATTACTAAACAGTAAAGTCTAGTGATTTAACTATAACACAACCACACCAAAGCGACGCCATCGCCACCTATTGGCCGCCTATCTGAACTACATCGCTCAGCAGCCAATGGCGAGAATATTCAAACATAATATAACATAAAACGATTGCTTCTTAATTCCTTCACAGTGCTCCATCATTATTTTCATAATTGATTGCATTTTTTTATCGAAAATTAATAAATTAATCATTTCCAAAGCAACGCCGTCGCCACCTATCGGCCGCCTATCGGAACTATATGGCTCAGCAGCCAACGGCGAGAATATTCAAACATAATATAACAGCTTTATTGTTTATAACTATATCTCAAAGAGTTTAATCTCTCAAAGATTACTCTCAAAGAGTTTCCTATTGATTTTTTGGTAGAATAATTGCTCCTCGCTTGCTTTATTATAATATTCGCGATCGCTCCACTTGTATAATTAATTTTTTATGATATATTAGCAAAAAACCAATCATTTTTTTGGAAAAACATATTTTCCGTAGTCTACTGCAAGTATAACCAACATAAAACGATTGCACCTTAATTGCTTCATATTTAAGATCGTCTTAAGCCCGTATCAGACTACGCATTAAAAATGAAAGATTGAAGATTAAAGATTGGAATTTGACTAATCAGAACAAAAAAATTTCAGGGTATGTTTCCTGTAATCTCTCACTTCGTATCCGTTCCTGTTCCTTTAAAAAATTTTTGTAATCAAACAACGCCTGGTGACATTCTACTTTTAAATCTAACTGCAGTCGAGATCCTTTTTCAATGGCTTCGTGAATGGTCATAATACTGTCATTGAAAGCAAGTAGTTTACTCATATAGGCAAAGAGTTTACTGGAACAAACGGAATTGAACTTTGATTGCATCTCTGCGTTTATATCTAATATCGATCCAATTGTAGGGTAACGACATTTGTATAAACACTTCTTACTTTTGGTCTTCAACATCGCCTTCCTTATTACTAAGGATAGAAAGAATAGTGGCACTATGAAGACATAATTTGATGGCCTTGGCGTTTATCAGTGTGTCACTTGTAACATTCTGCAATGCAACTCCAACAGATTCTTCTTCATGTCGCCTTCGTCCGTCATCTGTGTATTCTGCAATTCAACGATTTCAAAGATTTCAGATCGAATTTCATGTCCCGCGCATTATTAACGACATACGTTTATATTTTGCTTGAAGCATTAATAACCTGGCATTCAAATGCATCAGGGACTCTCTGGCCGTCTGGATCTTCTCCTTGACTGGTTTGAAATCGTTCAATGAAATCGCACCGATCGGGAACTTGTTGAGCACCGCGTTTAGGCTCTTCACAGATTGCTCCAACTCATCGAGCTCCATTATTGAGAAATTTACAAAAATTTCTTGCAAACAAGAGATATATATTATTCACTGTACATACATACACAAATTGTTTACCACCGTCTGTTTTTGAATCCAGGTGGACAGGTTTGTCTTCTTAAAAACCCAAATTTACTAGATCCCTATTTATTCATCCATCAGAGCATTCGGTGGACCCGATTGGTCAATCAAATCAGAGAGGAGCCTGAGAGGGGTAACGCCATCGTTTTTCATAAGATACTTTTTCTAGCTGGTACAGTAGCGTTATCTAGATCCATTTTAAAGCCGGCGGAACTACATAGCCAGATTCACTTTACGGTAAAACAACCGGTTGGTACATACCGGAAATAAGTTGGCGCTGGAAGTTCATATTTTTTAATAATTTATAGCTCAAACGATTGCTCCTTAATTGCTCCGTCAGAATCCACAATTGCTCCCCTTTTAAAATTAGTAGTTTTCGAAATATTTACAAAAAACGTAAAATTTATCATTTTCACTCAAAAACATATTTCCAATAGTTTTCTGCAAGTATATCCAACATAAAACGATTGCTCCTTAATTGCATCATATTTAAGATCGTCTTAAGCCCGTATCAGACTACGCATTGAAGATTGAGATTCAAGATTCAAGATTGAAATTTGACCAATCAGAACAAAACAATTTTAATCCTTTTTGTTCTGATTAGTCAAATTCCAATCTTTAATCTTCAATCTTCCATTTTCAATGCGTAGTCTAACATGAGCTTAAAATGTGGTCTTGGGTCGTCGTTACGCGTTGTTCGTTGCCGTCCTTAGTGCCGGTCCACAATAGGTAATTTAAGCCCTAAGCCTTAAGAAATTGACCAATCACAATCAAGTATGAAGAAAATACTCGACTGTGATTAGTCAATTTCTTAAGGCTTAGGGCTTAAATCACCTATTGTGGACCGGCACTTAAACAGAACCAAACATGTTTCAACACGTTAAGGCCATTGCACGTTCCAAAGGTTTTAGTCGTAATTGTAAGGCCGTAAGCAAATCGACCAATCACAATCAAGCATTCTAAAATGTAATAAGAATGTTTGAACTGTGATTGGTCGATTTGCTTACGGCCTTACTATTACGACTAAAGGGCCCGAGCACAGACTCTTGCATAAGCGCGTAACCATAAGCATAAGGAAATTGATTGGTCCATAAGCATATGCATAAGGAAATGAACCAATCAATTTCCTTATGCATATGGTTATGCGCTTATGCAAAAGCATATATGTAATACTACTATATTGCTAGTCAAAGCTCAATGCAGACATATATCGATCTCTTGCTCCTACAATTCATTTACTTTATGCGCAAAGCGCATGCGTTGATATACGTAGAGGCTAATCTAAAAAGCTGCGTTTAATATTGCTGAAAATGTTTATTTTTATTCTTTGTATAAAACAATTAGAATCTTTAATAAAAATACAAAATATAAAACTGAAGAAAATAAATTATATAATCTATTTTTTGGGTGCAGATCCGAAAAGTACTCCCGATTTTTTTGAAACTCAGTATTCTTACGTATTTTGATGCGTTGATTACAAATATCATAGTGAAAATTGGCGACTATTTGATTTTCATGGTGAAAACCGTGAAAAACCCATAAAAATTATAGTTTTTACGCTTATCTGAGTAAATACGGAAAATCATGATAAATGTTTTA